TGACGTGGGGCTTCAAGTGTGACATGTGAAGCAGGACACAACTTTCGCAGAGTGCACGCACGCACGGGCTTGGCTGGCGCACGGCGCATGCAAGTTCTATAGATGAGAAAGGTCTCATATATATCTTTAAGGTAACTTCCGCCCCGCCTCGTACGGGTACTACTGGTAAATATATTATTAAAAAAAGATTTGCAATAATTAACCAAACTACATAATACCTTAAATAATTGTAATTGGTATTTCCAGCAAAAAGCTTTCAGGCAAAAACACCGCGAAGCTAGGAATGACTTTTGGAAGGGCCAAGCCAAATATAGGAACATATAGGCTATTTCGAAATATTTTAAGATATTTAGGTATCCGGGTATTTTTAAATTAAAGAAAATTATTTCAAAACATAATTATTCCGGGATATCTTGACAGGAGGGAATCATAATTTTCAAAATTCCGGTATACATCATTATATACCTATTCCTTGAAAAACAAAAAAAATCTTGAAAATTATGCCAAAAAATTAGTCCATAATATTATTAATATCCTGGTATAATTTTTTGAGGAATGGATCATATTCTTGATACTTTTTATTTGTGTGTGTTGGGACGCAATTATATTTTTTAGTGCGTTTATCTGGTCCTCCTTCGCGGTATTTGGGCGATTTCTTTTATTAATATTTTTTTTGGAAAAAAACACATAAATTTTGGTATATTTTAACCTCAAAATTTATCCAATTGCTATATATAATTTTACTTCATCATTATAACATACAACCAGCATCCACAATACATCCATCACCTGTTCGGCCTTTTGTATGACCAATCGGTAATCCGGGGCACTTTTAGAAAAAAAATAATATATAGTGACGGACAAATACTTAGAACATCATTTGGAAAATAATCTGAAAATCGTCAGAGCGGGGATATCCTAAGTATGGGTTTCAAAAAAAATAATTAGAATATACCCAAAACCTATACTTAGAAGATTTCCAAGCTATACTTAGAATATCCCAATGGGGAACCAATGGGAACCATACATATACATTCAAAATTATACATAATTCATTTTAGCTCATTTTAGTATTGAAACCTATGCTTTTTGACTACCCCCTGTAGGAAACCCACAAATTACTAGAGACCTTCCCATTGCA